TTGCCTTCGGTCGGTCCACGCTCCGCTTAGATTGCCTGGGTCTCCATTGCATGACTTTTTTGTCCATTTGATATCATCTCTCGCAACATGGCCCGCTTTTCGTCATTTGTCTCTTGAAATTTGCTTCACTACATCCTTGACTCCTGTTCTCCTCCAGATTTCCTGATTTCTGATTTTAGTTCTGAGGCTCACGTTCAGCATCCGTCTTTCCATTGCAGTCTGGAGAACCCGTAGAGAGTTTGCACTGCCTTTCGTTATTGTGGCAGTCTCGAGTACGTATATGGTAACAAAGTATGCAAGCATTGTAGCCCTTACGCTTGAGGGATTTTCGGTTCCTTAAATATATGCCCCAACTTACCGAATACATTCCAGGGTAGCCCTATTCTTCTGGAGATTTCAGCAGTTCAATTTTCTGCCCCGAGCATGATAGTCTGTCCAAGATATACGGAGCTCTCAACAACCTCGAGAACGTGACTGTTATGCGTCACAGCAATATGACTTTGGCTGAAGATTCTCGTTTTGTCGAGATTTATTTCTAAACCTACAGCCATATATGCCTTGCTGTTCTAATTGATCTTCGTCGCTACTTATCAATACTGGAACTTGGTCTTCTTGTATTTTAATGTATAGGGTAGCGTGACAGTACCTACGTATATTCGAGGATGTCTGCGTATCTCAAATCAATTCTATCCTAGTTGATTGCCCGCAATACAAACCACGGAATCCACTTATTTTCAAAAATTCCCGAGAAAAAATGTTTGACTATTGCAGCGTCATGGGGTTGCTGAAAAAAATATGTTCTCCCGTTCCGTAAACGGCACCTCATCAACAAAGGATTACACATGTTGCCTTCAAATTTATAAATGGATTGTGATGTGAGAATGCCATGCAAAACCAATGGACCGATAATTCTACGTTTGAAAACACCGGCTTACACATTAATCCCAAATCTCCATTGATTTCGGTTCCCACAATCGAGAACTGTGTTGTGAGCACGTGCAGGAGTTGTATACTTACATATGCATCCTCTGCCCAAACCGAATTCAACGGAAAATAGCGCATTTCGCTACAGTTTTCCAGGAGCCAGTGGAAGGGTCTCCAGGTATGAGTTAATTAACTTTTTGCCTTCTAAATGGTTTGAAATTATATTTTTCCAAAGCTCGCCTTACGGTAGTTTTTGGCAAACCTCTTGATACGGCTCTTACTAATGCTATTTCTTCTAACTCTATCCCTATTTGATATACATCTTTTTGATTTGTTTATCACAAATTGACCATAATTTTTTAGATTATATCGCTGTATTGCAAAAAGTCCTTGAATGGTTCTCTACTCTCTGGATATCATTCCTGGTAAAAGTTTCTTGCGCCTCTTTATTTTCCCCTGTTTGTATGATGCAAGCTAACATAAGGACGAAATTCCGATAGACCACGGCTTCAAAGCCCGGAAAACATTCCTAAATGTAATCTGACCGGCTGTGAAACCCTTCATAGTCTGATAACAAGCTAACATATCCCACTTTTCATAATTCTCATATTTGGTAACAAATTAATTCCCATAATTGCACTAAAACTCAGGAAAATAGGAAGGATCTGTACAGCATTAAGCGAAACTTTGACAACTGCTATTATTGACATTGACATTCGCCTTGTCATCCAAAGCCTACTCGTTCAAAACGGGCACATGCAGTCTAGACTTGAAAAAAACTATAATTAAACCTATATATTTGATTGACTAGTTGAGCAAAACATGGATTGTGCTATAGTTTTGGAAAGTTAAATTCAACCGCAAGTTAAATATGATAAAACAGACAGTGTCCCATTCAAAAATATTTATTTTTTGTTATTTATATATTTATACAAGTATTTGCTTAGAGATAGAGATAATGACATTCGGGTTTCGTTATTAATTTAGTCATACGAATAGAGGCTCGGATGCCGACATCAGTTTTGTTCTGATGTGGAAATGGAGAATCCATCCAAAACCCAATTTCCAATTTATCCCACCCTGTAAATGAAACAAAGCTATTACCACGTTCTGTAGCTTGCTGATTTTTGAGCTAACGGTTTTAAATATAGTTATTTTTGTTTTATTTTTATTAACTATAATTTTGTTGTTTCAGAACCAATTGTGAACCTGCTACCTGCATGTTATTTATATTATTATATTTCAAAAGTATGTCAAAATTTGCATGAAATTTCAAATTGGTGTTTTCAGCTTAGTCAATCTAGGTCTTAGAAGGAATGTCTAAATTCATTTAAAATTCAGCCGACTGTTTTTTGGGAAAAATCTTGGACCAGTCAATTTTCATTTGTTAATGCAATTTTTTTTTCTAAATCAATTTATACAGGGGGATTCTTAAATACGTCACGACCATCAACTTATTTTTTTCCACCTGCTTTTGAATTATCCATTTAATTCTAAGTGTACTTTAAGTAACACCTACCATACTTAAGCTCAGCAGTTTTCGAAAGATTCATGATTAGACTTCTTACATTTTTTTGTTCTGAGTATTATAGATTCCATTTTTGGACGTAGGTGTCTTTCATATGTTTCCATTTATTTCGGTTCCTGCCACCCTGCCAAACCTGCCATGAGTTTTATATCGTCTGTCCAGCGCATTCACGGGGTTCCCTGGTTCGTTTACCCTGATAGGGTCTCCACTGTAGCAATTTTTTTGTCTATCGTCCCTCCCGTATACTGGCCACATGACCTACAAAACTCCATTTAGGCGCAGCAATTTTCTCATCAACATCTGTAACTTGAATTACATGTTGATGTGTTGATTACGCCTTCTATCGAATAGTGACAAGCACGTGTCTTTCCATCTCACGCTGTCTTATTCTGAGTGGTTCTAGCAATTTGTTCGTGTTGGTCCATGTTTGGGCGCTGTACGTCATTACTGGTAGGACACATTGGTTATATAGTCGACTTTTTAGAATGTATTGTTTTTCAGAGTGTTCTTCAGCTTTCCAAACGCTGCTCAAGTCAGTCTTCTTTTTCGTTCTATCTCTTGGGTTTGATTTTCTTTTCCAAGTGACTTCCCATTTGTTGAGATACTTTTGTCCTGCTAGTTTAGTTTCTTGAAAGCATCTGCTGTAGCCAAAGTGAATAATTTTGCAGATATCGCATCCCCTTGTCTTATGGCTCTCTGTATTTTGAGTGGTTTTGTCATGTTATTCAACTGAATAGTAGAGGTGACGTTTTCTAGTATTTGTTTAATGAGGCTGGAATATCTGCTGTCTATTCTTGCATTTGTAAGCCATTCAACACCGTCCAATGTTCAAAGCTATCAAAGGCCTTTTGGAAATCTACAAAGACCAAACAGATATCAACATTGTTTTCAATCGCTTTTTCCACTTCCATTCTCATTGTCAAAAGATGGCCACACGTGTTATACTGTTTTCTAAAACCTGATTGTTCATCTGGCTGGTCTGTTTGTAAGAATTTTTGTGATGTGCTTGTCTACTTGCTATAATAATAATATCGGGCGGTAATTCTCTTAATTTGTTTTACCTCCTTTCTTGTATAATAATATTACAATAACGTTGGTCCAATTTTTGGGTATCTTTCCTTGTCCTATACATTAATTGAACCGTGTGCACAATCTTGACATTAATATATCAACAACTTTTAGCATTTCTATCAGAGTTTCATCTTCACCCGCTGCCTTATTATTTTGTGTGCGATTCAGACCATATCTAATCTCGTCCTCAGTTATTTCCTGGATCTTTGCTGATTATACATTCATAATATTATTGTTTTCGTGCTTCGCTGGTGTTTGAATCTTTATAGTGTATAAATTACTTTAAAAATGTTCGGCTGTTCGCATTATTTCTTCTTTATCCCTTATTTCGTTCCCCGTTTGGTCCTTCAGGGCTGTTGTCTATTTTATAGTTGCTCTTCCTCAGACTTCTAAGGCCTTTATTTTTTTTAGTAGTTTTTTAACATCGTTTTCACAGTGTTCATTGAGTTCGTGCCTCATCATCCGTCTTGCCTCTTTTCCTAAAATTGTAATTTTCTCAATTTTTTTATCCTTTAATAGTTGTCTCTTTCTTTCAATACTTTTCTCTGTTTCATCTCTAATCTTGCATGTATTTTCTCTTTTCTTCTCGGCTATTTCTCTTGCTGTTGCATTCAATACGGCTGCCGTACTTGACTGGTTTCGTCGATGTTGTTTTTGTCCTGAGTCCTCTCCATTTTTTTCATTTAATTTTTTGAAGCCTTTCACTTTTCTAATTTTCTTTGAACTTTTTTGGATTTATAACTTGTTTTATTTTTGGAATCTTTTTGCGTTCTAGCTTAGTATTAGAAACTTTCAAGAATTCTGGATGGTGAAGTCAATTGTGTAAAGAAATAATCCCATCGTTCTAATAAATCTAAATAAAATTGTTGTTTTTCACATTTCGCCGCATATCCAACAATGTGTGTAATACAAGCTGCGTTAGAGTTAACATTATTATTATCATTATTATTATTATTATAGCGTTACCCAAACAGTTTACAGAATAATATGCAAACATAAATTCCATCTATAATTTTCGTATACGCGTATTCCATATTTCATCATCTGAAAGCAACTTATTATGCAAGAAGAGTGGCATTCTGTGAATTTCTCGTGAGTTTGGCATGGCACGAATGGCAAATGTCTTACATGTTCGCGATACAACTTTATCACATAGCATATCATTTTTATCATATAATCTGCATAGATAATAGCTGTTTGCTCTTTGTAAAACTCCCTCATTTGATATATGGTCTACCCCGGAAATTTTAAGTAGTCTTCTCAGGTCTAGTCTGCTTTTTTAACAATCAAACCGCATAATTTTTAATGAACTCAGATATTATTTCTGGGATTAACTGTTTACAGTATGAACAATATTGGTATTAGAACGCGGTTACGTACAAGAGTATTACGGAAACTTAATCTTAAAATTTCCAACTAAAAATTTTGGTGTAAAGCATTGAAATTCTGAATAAACAAACATTTAAATTTATTTTAGGTCCAAAGACCGACAGTTATAAAATTGGTCCTCTGCAAAGGGCTCATAGTGGGCAAGCCGGCAAAAATATGACACTTCTAAAAAAATATAGCCCCATATTGCCCCAGGAAGGAATACTCAAGCACCAACAACCCTTGGATTATGATCGAAATTCAAAGAGTTTACCTTTGAAAATTAACGCAGATGATAATAAAATAAAACCCGATAAGATGCATCGGAGGTTAAGTATATTTTGTTTCTTAATTTATTTAATAATAGCTTTGAAATACTTGCAGCAGAACTAACAGTGAATTGTCTAAGCGGAAGGCAGAAGGAATGTTTATACATGTCAAAGGGAAGCGAAAAGCTCCTCAGCCTCCTGAAATGATTTTTTCAGTTTCAATCAGTCTAAATGACGAACAAAGATTAGCTGCACGAAACCCTTCAGTCGTTGAGATGTATAATGGTTTAGAAAAACCGATTATATCTAACGACTGTCTAAAATTGGAAAATGGAATACTGACGCCGCTAAAGGAAAATCTGAAACAACCCAATAATCATCTTGCTATTTGTTCGTCTCCGTCGAAAAGTAACACGTTTAAGGAAACCTTTCCTCCTAGACCATGGTACAAACGCAACTCTATTAATACAGATTTCCCGTTAAAAAAGGAAAATAATAGTGCAACGCTAGACATGTTAGTATTATGTCGCTTGATAAGGGATTTCGTCGATATAAATCATAAGTCCAAACGTTTTATTATTTCGTTTATTTGACTGGAAACAATAAATTAAAATCCAAAAGCTTTCTGCCAACGAAAAGCCATAAGCTGAAAGCGCCGGAGCGGTCTTTACTATACCTACAATTTTATTGATTAATTTGAAAGTTTGCATATTAAAAGCAATTTAGTTCCAAATTAAAACAAACAATACAAATTTAACTTGTAACCGAACCTTAACTATGACTCATGACTCTTAGTCCGTATATCTTAAGACTGACTCTTTAGAATGAGACTATCTGAGACTCAATTCTTATGACTTCCGACCAAACATCTAATGACTGGATGCTCGTTTCTGCTGTGGTTTTTTTTATAGTTATATCATGCTGATCATAGCAGAAACGATACTACGTTTGATTTTATAAGAATAGTCGGCATAAGTAACCATATAATTCTACTATCAACAAATAATTAGAGTTATAACTACATCAGCTTGCTCTCATGCTCAATAGATGAATCACTTTTCTACAATAAAGAGAAACTTAAAGTAATATTTTCTTTATTCGCGGATTACTATTTATGTCAGGCCATATGATAATAATCAAAATAATAACAATAATAATAATGGTAATAAATTTGACAAGAATTGGGCACCCCGTTATATCAAAAAAGCAAAACTACTTGAATAAGTGAGAACAGAAAGAATGATAATAATAAATAAAAGTGTGCGTCACAGGATGCTCGACAGAAGTGATAAGATATTATTAATATAACTATAAAAAAACTAAAAAACTGTTTAACGCATGATAGCAATACTAATTTATAATTTCAATATTTTTGTAAGAGTTAAATTTTAATAATTTATAAATGTAGCAGGAATAGGTAAAAAAAACATTTAGCATTCTTCCATAGTTGCAGTTTATAATTCATGTCTTTATGAGGATTTTATTTTTAGGTGGTTCTTTTATAGTGTTGCCTAGTTGTTGGTAGTAACTTTCCATATATACTTCACATGATTCAGTTGTTGGCGCATAAAAGTCTATATGATGTTGACGTTAAAAAGTTGAGCCTTTACATCAGCGGTATTATTCGGTCATTTCCTGCGTTATATCATAGAACTGCTGTGGTATTGGGGATTGGTCTTAACATAGCTATTGCGACTTTTGGTTTAATTGCCAGAGTGGTATATTGCGCTGCTTGTGCTTGTAGTGAAATGCCTGGTTGCTTTCCAGTGCTTCTTTGCCATTCCCAATGCACAATTTTTGCTATTCCAATCAAACTGCACTTAATTCAAACAACAACTTTATTTTCACTCTGAACTGTTATTACTGATTTGGTCGACCACTAATTACCGCGCCCCGGTGCATGCCAGCATCTCACATGACCCCAGAGGGCGGATCTCTTGGTCCAACCAATACGCAGAAAGGCTACTATCGACTATTTACAGACCAGACTTGTGCTACACAGGGTGATTTAAAATTGGCGTCATTTCTCTGGAGATGTTGTCTGGCGCTGTTATAAGAGTACAGAAAAAACAGAAAAAAAATTAATTGTTATTAAAAACTGAGAAATTTGCAAAAAACTATATCAGAAATACGGCATCAATGTTTTTCAAGGTAATATGCCTAATTAACATTTCGCATATACCTGTTGCTTCGTAATTATTTAAAACTCCGGTAACCATGTAATTATACAGAGCGACAACAAGATAGACACGGACCAACCAACAACCTGTTCTCATAACCTCAAACATTTGAATGATTAACTCCAAACAAGCTACTACATGTGTAATCTCCTTATTATCCACTCTTATCAAGCAGCTTCTCGTATTCAGTTAATTAACTCCTGCTCCATTTGTACATGTGTGTGCTCCTTGTACTGTGTGTGTGTGTATCGTTCAAACGTGGTAGGAATGTAGTCCTTCCTCGGTATTTATTTGGTGCTTGGCAAAGTTTCAGTTATTGTGCTCTGAGTAACCCTGGAAGGCCCTGATTCGATTATGTCCAATACTTGTTCCTCTGTGTCTGGAACTCGAACATCAATTGTCGTTCACTATCGTCCTGGAACCGCTCTCCTCGCCCCTTGTTGGCGTGAGTTCTTTCATCTTCTGCTATGTTAGTGTAGCATTTCTCCTGAACTAATCGCATACCGCAAACTCGTGAAAAGAAATTTAAAGTAAGTCACAGTTTGACAAATTATTGTTACTATTGACAAGGGCTATCCACCTGTAACTATCTGTTAATGACAAAAAACATCATTGCCGCTGTCACTTTTCATCGAAAAATTGTAGAAAATAACTTTTTTGATATCAAAAATTTTCGTAATTTCAAGCAAAGATCGTAATTTTTTTTTTTGAATGCTTAAGTATTCCTATATGCGACCAATTAAACATGGAACAATTTCAAATTAATGCTTAATAACAAAGTTGAAATTCGATCTTCAACTTTTAATATCTTCTATATACTTCTGTATACAGGGTGATTCAAAATTGGCGTCATTCCTTTTAAGGGGTGATGAAGGCTCACTTGGGGAGTACGAGGAAAATATTGAAAATTTTTAGAATATATTGGTATTATAAGTTAGAAGATTTTTCTAACTCCGTTAAAAATGAGTCACAATTCTGCCCTTCTTTTTGGATAATATTCTTAAACAGAACCCTTTCAAAAATGCTTTGTATAATGCACCCAACAGATCAAATTTGTATGCGAGGGCTTCTTGTTCGACAATAAACAGGATAATCAGGATATATTATAGGTATACAATAGCTTACTTCTCGACTTAGGTATGTGATATATTATTTTCCTTAAGTTAGCCTTTGAATGTAGTCTGTGGTGTCTTTCAAATTACTTTCTTATTCTGGTTGGTTTTGATTAAACTGGTTTTCCTTTTTTGTAACTGCTGAACAATTGTTGTCATGCGCTTTACATCATAATGTTGAGAAATGAACTGCCTAGGAACAATCGCGTTTTGTGATTAAAAGGAAACAGGTAATGGAAAAACTCAAGACAACCTTTTGTTAAGAGTACGTGTAATGAACTGTTAAAATTATTTTTTTGCGAGGCCATACGAACCTGAATAATATCTTGTGAACTTTTCCTTCCTGAATATCGGAAACCAAGCACTTTTAGGCCATATTTATATAATGTTTTTCTCATAAAATTAGCTCAGGAGTACCTCAAAATTTTTTTTTCTCAATTAGGAAACATTCTGTATACAAGGTATTTCATAGGGAAGGGCATTATTTTAACTACGTCCGAAAATAAAACTAGTTTGAAGACTTCCTCGTCTAAAGGAGTGGTCACAGTGGTGTAGTGTTGAATGTATCCTTCTGCCATGCCTGATATCACGTATTCGACACCCGGGAAAGACGTGAAAAAAAATTTCACGCAACTGTACTGTGGTTACCTTGCGGAAAGCAATGGCAAGCGAACCTCTAGGAACTCTCTTCTTCTTCTTTTTCAACCTCTCTCCGTCCACTCCTGAACGTAGGTCTCTCCCAAACTCTTCCATTTTCCCTATCCTGTGCAATGATCAACCATCGTTTACTTGCCACGTCTCTGATATTGTCTACCCATCTTTTCGAGGGACGTCCCACGCTTCCTTTTGTTTGTTTCGTCCTCCATTCTGTGGTGTTAAGCGCCCATCTGTCTTTGGGTTGTCTAGCCACGTGTCCAGCCCATCGCCATTTCATCTTTGCGACTTGCTCGACTATGTCACTGATCTTCGTTCTTCTTCGGATATCTTCGTTCTATAGCTCTTTGAGAAGTTCTGTGCTTTTTGGCGTAGGTTTTTGTGAGGTATATGGTTTCCATTCCGTATATATTGACTGGCAGGACACACGTATGGTGCTTTATGACACTTTAGCTCTCAAATTCACAGGAATTGTGTCGTTCTTCAGGATGAGTTTCAGTTTTCCGACGGCTGCCCACGCAAGTCTAATTTGTCTGGTAATTTCCGCATGCTGATTTTCTCTCTCCAGTTTGATAATGTTGCCTAGATAAATATACTCCTCGACGAGTTCAATAAAATTTTTCTCTATATTCATATTTGTATTTTCATGACTCATTATTTAGATCTTGTAGTTTATTTTCAGACCTATACTTGTCGAGGCCTGGTTTAGTTGTTGCAGCATTTCATTTAGCTCATTGATGTTATCGGCTATTATGTCGTCTGCGAACCTAAGGTGGTTAAGTCTAGATCCATCCACGTTGATACCTTTTTTGTCCCCTTCTAATTTCTTGAAAACGTCTCCGACAGCCAGCTTGAATAGTTTGGGAGAAATGGTATCCCCTTGTCGCACTCCTCTTTGTAGTGGTATTTTACTGGTGGTGGTTGTTTTGTCTATTTTAATATGTATTGATGCCTCTTTGTAGATGTTTTGGTTTATTTTATCTATTCGTGCGGTTTTCTAGAGAGCTTAAAACTAACCAAATTTTGATGGAATCAAATGCCTTCTGAAAGTCGATGAAGGCTAATTGTATTGGTAAATTATATTCGGTACATTTCTCTATCAAGGTACGTACAGTATGAATGTGGTTAATGGTGCTAAATCTCGCCTGTTCCACGGGTTGATAAAAGTCTAATTTTGTTGTTAAGCGAGTTATTATCTTTGCGAACAGTTTATATAGGTGTGGCAAAAGAGATATTAGTCGATAATTTTCTATGTTTGTGTTATCACCTTTCTTAAATATGAGAATAAAAGAGATAATAATTGTCTCAATGTGGTGTTAATTTAATCTTCTGTAATTTCCGGTACTTCTTCCGATCCTGCATTTAAAATGGTTCTCTTTGATTGTGGTCGCGGTAGGTTGGATGAATATAATTTCCTATAAAACTTCTCGAGAGCGTTAGTGATGTCTTGTACTAGCACATTGTTTTCGTCTTTTACTTTAGTCATTTTTGTTTTTCTTTTTGAGCGTGGTGAGCGTAGTACTTTCATTTTGCAATTGTCTTTTATGGTTCCTTCGATAATCTGTGTTGTAATTCCCTTTGTCTTTTAGGATTTATTTCTTCACCATTTTGTTTAGTTCTTTGAAGCAGTCCGATGTTCCATCTGTCCTATTTCTCCTCTCCTCTAGTAGTTTTAGTGTGGTAGGACTTAATTTTGAATCTCTGTGATTTTTTGTACGTGAACATATTTTCTTGGTGGCAATTTTTATGGCGTTTGTGGTTTTATCTGTAAGTTGGTCTATACCTAGTTGTTCTAATGTATCTGTTGGGGATAGTCTCTGATGTAGGTCGTTCTGGTATTGTTCTTCCTTTAGTTTTAAAACATCTCCCGTTGGGTAGCGTTGTTTTCTGAAGAATTTGTTTCCTTTCCTTTTGGTGCTAATTATGATCTTTGCTCTAAGTAGCCTATGATCACTTCCAATCTAAAATTTATTCAAAACAGACACGTCCCTACATATGTTTTTGTTATTTGAGACTATTGTCTATTTCGTTTTTCGTTTTGTTGTCTGGGCTTTGCCATGTCCATTTACGATGTTTTTTGTTTAAAAAAAAACGTGTTAAGGCAGTATAAGTTTTCGTGATTGAGGTAATTTGTCGAAGTTCACCCCTGTCGTTTCTATCGCCAAATCCAATAGATTCTGTGTCCCTCTATTTTTGTCTTTCAATTTTCACATTAAAATCTCCAGTAATTATTTGAAAGTAGGTTCTTTCTTGTTGTTTTGCTTTGGTCAAATCGTCATAGAAATTTTCAATATCTCCATCATCTGAAGCGCTTGTCGGTGCATATGCCTGGATGATTTGTAGGCTGTATCTCTTGTTTATGGCAATCACAATATACAGGGTGGTCCTCAACTAATGTCGAAAAATTTACTGACATATTGTTTATCCCAATATATTGCGTTTCAGTTCAGGCAAATTTGTCTTATGGAAAAGTTAATAGATTCCGAAGTACAGGGTGTCAAAGTGTAAATAAAAATTTCGTTTTTTCTGAATAGATTTGTAACCAGTTTTACTAGTAACACAAAAATTTGTGCTTGGGGGTTTTTTAGATCGACAAATCCAAATTCCCTATTGGTTGGCTTGTAGTTTCTAGAGGGCGCAAGCTGGATAGTCTGGAGCAATTTAAGACATTGGGACTTTTTTGCCTTTTCAAAAATCGTCATACGGTTGATACAGTCACATTCTACGATATTTTTTAAACAAAACATCTGTACTTGTTCGAAGTCGATATCTCTCACCGTTTTCGAGATATTTGTACATGTACGAGGAGATCATTTTGAACATTTATTATAAAATAATAATTTTCAAATATTTTACTGTGTCTAAAAAGAAGTTTAAAATAGTTCTGACCGTGCGTAAATAAATACTGTCGAATATTTGATAAGTATGGTTTAATAGAAAATTTGAGCGAAAAATTTTTTTAATTGCATATCTAATTTGAGATAGATATCCAATTAGCTCAAAAAATTACTAGATCTTTCAATGTGAAAAATCTCGAAAACGGTTAGAAGTAACGACTTCGAACAAGTACACGTTTTCCTTAGAAAATATCGTAGAATGAGATATTACCAACCGTATGATGAATTTCGAAGAGCCAAAAAAGGTGTGATGTCTTAAATGGCTCCAGACTATTGCAGGTAGCACCCTCTAAAAACTACAAGCCAACCAATAGGGAATTTGGATTTGCTGATTTAAAAAACCCCCAAACACAAATTAATTTTTGTGGTACTAGTAAAACTGGTTAAAAATCTATTCAGAAAAAACTAAATTTTTATTTACATTTTGACACTGTATCTCGGAATCTATTAACTTCCGTATAAGACAAATTTGCTTGAAACGCAATATTTTGGCTTAAACAATATGTCAGTTAGTTTTTGGACATTCGTTGAAGACCCCCCTGTATATCACACGAATGGACATGGTATTTTGTGACGATGTATCTAAATTTTCGGTTGATAAGAATACTACTTCTCCGATTTGATCTTTGTCGATTGTGTTGTTCTGGAATAGAGTATGCCTTGATTTTAAGACGATGCATTTTTCTCCCGGTAGGTGAGTTTCGCAGATCACGACGATATCCCATTTTATATGGTTAAGCTCTTTCTCAAAATCGTCCAATTAATCTTGGGTTCTCATACTCATTATATTGTAAGTAGCAATGTAAATAGGGGCTGTAAGTTTCTCTCGTTGTCGTTTAGTATTCGAATTTTTGTCTTCTCCAGAATCCGGACTGCCTGATTTTTCAATGTGAGATTCTGAATCGTAGACTCTACTCACTTGGGGTAGTTGCGTTTTTAAACTCAACATTTCATGGTTTCATGATGGAGAGGTTTTTGGCAACTACACCGCTACGTTTGCGGAGCGTGTTGGTGAGGGGGTTGGGATGTAGGGAAGGATAAGGGTAAAGTTAGATAGAGTCGGGGTTGGGACCTGGTTCTTTTGGGTTGTTGGAGGTGAGGAGAAAAGCCAGGCGCTCGCATGGGCAAGGTCGCTAACTCCCTGAAACAGGTTTGACTTCTACCGGGATCGTGGAAGTGCACCTGCCCGCTACCCTTAACTGGAAACTGGAAAACTAACCTGGAACTCTCTAACGCTAAGGATCTCAACTAGTGCTGTTCGAAACCGGCGATCAACTGTAGGTCCCGTATAATTGTGGATGGTGCGTTCCACCACAAGATGAAAGGCTTGCAAAATCAGAATAAGTCACAATGACATCTGATCAAAATAAGTGTAAAATTTTACTAGTTAAAGTGTAGTTATAATTTATCTGCTAGTGGGCGTTTGTACTTTCGGATTCGCTAATAAGGCAAATTACCGTGAAAAATGTTGTTGCCAATTGTCTGGATGAGTTTTATGCAAATTTCTCAGTTTTTTATATTATTAATTCTTTCATTAATTTTTCTGTTCTCCCAGAACACCCCCGGACGCACCCCCCCTGCCCAGAAATGACGCCAATTTTGATTCACCTAGTAGATGAACTGTTTTTTTAATACTTAGATTTTATTGTTTGATTGTGTTAGAGGTGCAAATTGATGAAACGCCACCTGAATTTGGAAGGTGAGAAAAATGAAAGTGATTAAAATCTTCAAATTCTGTAATTATTTATCCGAATACTTTTTATTATTATTTACTTAGGGAGAGAAAAAAGGTAGTAAATATTTATAATTTCTCCGGTTTGTAGTAAAAAAGATTTTACTAATAATACGTCTATTTCTATTATTGCCACAATTTAATTTACAATTTATTATTATAAATAATAACTTTTTAATTTTGGTTGTTACAATATATAAAAACTATTATTATTATTATTGATATGATCTAGTTATGATACGACATATTCAAATTTTGATGTAAACGTTTTAATTAAATTAAATAAACGTAAACTCATTTAATTTACGGCTATTTTATTCGGTCCACAGGGTGGAAGTGTTGACATAAATTCCTAAATGACAAATGCTAATTATAATTATGACACACCATTCGATTCAGACAGTATAGTTTGCCAAAAACACATAGCTAAGTGTTAAAAGTTTGTATTTAATGCAAGAATGATTTCGGAAACTAAAATAAAAAACAAATTTTGATTTTAATTCTGCTAACGCAAATTTATAAGATTTGAAATAACATTATTATGTCTTAACATATTCACATGAAATTAACTAAATGTTGTTATAAAGCAGATATTTAAAATGTCGCTTCTGAAATAGAAAATCGAACTGATGATCTTAACCGGTTTCAGGTTACCCGAGGTCCCTTTTGTGAAGCATTTGGCGACAGGTCTCAGGCAACTTTATACCAGCGAAAAGTTTGGAGAAAAAAAAAATGTAATCAATGAAAAGGAAGAGCTTTCTACTAACATAAGAAAGTGCGATAAAGACAAATCCGAAATAAATCAAAGTAAAGATTCGGCAATAGTTCAAAAACTTGAGATTAAAAAATCAACAGACGATATGCAATATACTGACCGAACGTGTCCCAAAGAGTCCCATGCTGGTGATGTGAATCTCAAATTTGATATCATAACCGCAAGGCAACAAGTTAAACATCTTGTAAAACCAATAAATTTGGATACAGCATCAGAAAAGGAAGAACAACTACCAAGCACCATTGAAAACAAAACCGAGAACTATCAGAACTCACAAACTAAGGCTTCTTACAACTTATCAAAGTCGGAAACAGCAAGCTCTATTAATAATAAGAACACTTGGACATGTAAAAAGTGCAATTTGAATAACGAGCATTGGAGAGTCCTATGCAGCAAGTGTTTCTATAAAAAAACATGCTTTGACGATTTATCTCATTCCGTGTGTTCTCTTTCTTCGAGAGATGGTAACTCAACACATCGACAGCTTGGGCGATCTAAAACGCAGACGCAATTTCCTATCTCCATGGAGTATGAGACGATTTCTGCTGGTAGTTTGACAGAAACCTTAGAAAAAAAGATAGACCACGACGGATTAAAGAAAATGTTGATCGATATGAAAAATTCGTTACCCAAACGCAAACGCCACATTTTGACAAAGCAAAAAGTGGAAAACGACATTATTTTAGAAAGACTCAAAATTCCTCAAGGCAAAACCAGCGAGAGCGACGAGCACACCAGAAAAAAAAATACAAGTGATACAACCGAACTCATAGAAAAGGCGCGCGAGGATATACCAAATAAACTTGATAAAGGCGCACCAAAACTTTATGAAAATGTTCTAGAATGTAAACAGGCATTCGACCATAATATTAGATCTGACCAATTAAGCATTAAATCGTGTCTACCTAATGAGAGAATTAGCTCCGACGTTCAAAGGCGACAAATTTCCGAGCTTATCGTTGGAACAGCAGTTACAATTTACGAAAAAATTAATGTTAGAGCGGATTCGTCACTAATAAAAGAGAATACCACTGGAAACTGCCGTGAACAAGTGAAAGCAATTGTGCCTGAATTAGCTTCAAATAACAGCATTCTTGACTTCAAAACGAACACGGCTTATCAGCTAATAAAGAAACAAGATTTTGAGGACATATATTCTACTAAAAATCACAGTCCACTTTATGCAAATCTAGCACAAAAAGATGAACTGTCATTGCTTAATAATATTCCAAGAAAGTTAAATGTAGAACATTCAACCAATTGCATGACAGAAGATAGTTTAAGTATAGATATCAACAGGTTGTTCAGAAGACTGGAAGAGGCTATTTCTATAGGTGATATGAGTGAGGCTGCTGATCTTGCGAAAAGACTTGCTCAACTTCAAGTTAATTGCTCTGTGATCAGGCATCATGTGGAAACTCCGACAGATCTCCCAGGGTTTAAGTAAGTTAACATATTGGTACTAAAACTGGTTCATAGTTTATTAGGCTTAAGTAAATTGTTTTCTTACTGACGTGATTTTAACGGCTTTTAGCACTCGAATTGAAACGATTTTCTCAATTTGTCGTATTTTTACAAATAATCATATTTTTGATTCAATCGTAATTCAGACTTGTTATTATCCGAACAAAAAGGTAATGACTCCTGGATACACAGAGTGGGCCACTGATCTCGTTTTCTCAACTTTTGAGTAAAATACAAAATAATTGGTTTACCGAATGTTTATAAGACGTTAATTATTTGTTTAAAGAAAAAAAAATGGGTTTCAAGGTTTTCAAATTTCTTAAGTTTAAAACATATGCGTTTTAAAACATATTCATTAAATCTTTAATCGATCGATGATTGAAAATTAATTTCTTTTCGAAAATATGTAACCATTTGTAGTCGGTAATAAAAGTCCGGTTAAAGGAATAAACTATATTTGCAATAACAGAAACTCGCTTAGCACATAACTTTTTTCTTATGTTTTTGTTGTTTTTATGTTTTATATGTTTGTTGGGCAATTTTCCAGCTCATTCGGGACGGGGGGGATTTGTCTGACCTCATCCATATCTGCCCGGGTGTTGTTAAATTCAATTGTGCTGTGGATTAAACTCAACACCACCGGGGTTGATACACGATCTTGGTTTGAATCGATAATTCAATTTCATTTTTTTGGTATGGTAAGAAAGTTTGTGAGTTGAACGTTGCAACAAAGGACACACACGGCATACGTCAGAAAGGTTACCAGGACACTAACTGTTGATTCTTTGCTCACGGAAACAATCAAAAGTTTAATCAGGTTAGTCATCTTGAAGTTCAGAACTTGATCTTGTTGTATGTCAGGAATTTTATTAACTTCTTTAATCTTGTATCTGAAAGATTAGAGAGAATGCAAGCCATATTTTATTGGGCTCGGAGATCTGATAGAATCGTTTCCCTGTATATGTTAACCCTGGGAATTTAATTAATTGGAGGAATCCAAGAATATGTGGTCTAGAGTTTCCTCTGTGCCAATCACAACTCGAGTTCGCCCTGATCTTGATTCTTTGGAAGGACGAGGCTGATAAGCAATGCCGTCTTAGTACGTATTATTATTATGGATGTGAGGTGTTTACGGTCGGTAAACTCGAGATTATCAAAAAACTTTTTTTGGGAATGTCAGTAAATGTTGCCAGATTTTATTGTGCTCGTGTTTAATTTGTTTTTTGATCATGGTCATAATTTCTGACCTGTCAAGGTTGATCCTCAAGGGGACATACAAAGCTGTCCCGATTTTAGCTAATTTGTCCACTTTGTCATTTCCTTTTATTTGTGAATGTCCTGGGATCCATGCGATAGCTATATTTGAGCCGCTAGTAGTTTTCTAGTATTTATTAATATGTGATCCCTGATTGGCTGTAAGTCGGTATTTTTTATTTTGCCAGTGGTACTCTGGGAGCCCAAAAAATGATTTTTTAGCGTTTTTAATTCCTTTTTTTAATTATTTTTTTGCTTCATTTCAGCTCCGTTTAGCATGATTATATACAGTGTGGGCCAACGAAAAGGTTGCATCCCTAATTATGACTCTCCTCGTAGATTAAAAAAAAAACGTTCAAACACGTCAACTTTGATTTTTAAGGGGACGTCTTGCTGACCATAACTGCATTATACAGGGTGTTTCATAAACAAGATACTACGTCACACTTTTCATTTTCAAATGGAAACCAGCTAGTTTTATGTAATTTTTAGATCCTGCCAGAAGTTTGTTGTAAATTTGGTATAACATGTTCTATACCTATCTTCAACAGGTTTAGTTTTATTTGCGTTTGTTGCTGAATGATCGAGATATTGAGCCGTTTGGAAGTATTGCACATTGCCGTTTCTATGGATGCCTCAGACTCTGTTCAATCAAAACAACCGTCAAGTGTCAGTCCGAGTCGCTGTCAAGTGTCAGTGTGCGCTTAAACGTTTTTTTTTAACTTGACTACTCGTTTAGGAACCTAATTTAAAACTCGAAATTTGCAACATTTAATAATTTCCTTTAAATTAAATAAATGAAGTATTAGGCATTCAGCAACATATGGACATCAGTGTGGTAATAAATGGTGAAAATGGTGTCAGTTTTTTTCTATACAGTAATAAAGATTTTCCTCAATACTTTTCCTGCCATTTACAAGTTATCTGAAGAAATTTGTCTGCGCTCATGTGTAATCCGGTGGCAAACCTTTTCAATCGACTCTGGTTTAGAGTCATAAATTTTACTTTTCAAATACTATCAAAGAAAAAAGTCCAAGGGATTTAGGACCGGGGACCTCGGTGGCCTCGGCTCAATTGGACCTCACCTACCAATTCACCGACTAGGAAATTTGTGATTCAAAAATTGGCTTAGGAGCTACATAATTGGTTGGGGCGCAATTGTATTAAAAGTGAAGATGTTTGGCGTTATGGTAACCGTCGTTTTTTATTATTTTTCTAAGTATTGGATCTACTGTATTTTCCAGCATCTCCAGGTATAACTCGCTCGTCAAGTCTCCAGGAATAAAAGAGACCCTACAATATGATTTCCTAATATATCTTCCCAAACTTTTAACATGCGGTGGTGCTGGAAATCGACTTCTCTAAATAAATGAGGGTTTGAGTGACTCCAATAACGACAACTATGTCTATTATCAACGCCGTGTAATAAAATTTGCATTCATCTGAGAAGCAAATATTAAACAGCAAATGTCCATTGTTGAGCAACCGTTCACTCATTTGTACACAGAACTCCAAACTTCTATTATAGTCATCTTTATTAAGTTTATGTACCAGTTTTATTTTGTAAGGATGAAATTTATGACAATATTTTTAATATTCTTGGTATTATATATATTATATAGCCAGTTGGCGAGTACTTTGGATATTGTCAAGTTCTACGTGTCTCAAAACCGGATGATCACAGGTCCAAATCCTTCAAACTTCTTGATTAATCTTTCCACATACTTATCGTTAATAGTTCTGTCTGGATGTAACTGATTAAATAAACAGGCGGTAGCCCTGGCAGAACTTTTAAACATTTTCAAATTAAATGTTTATTATTTCTACTCTTTGATGAATGGAAAATTTCATTGTAATGGATGATGTGCACATTAAGTTGAAAAACAGTTTAAGCCCACACTGACACTTGACGGTGACTGGGTTATTTTGCCAATCTGTCGGAGGCATCCATAGAAACGGCAATGTGCAATACTTCCGAACGGCTTAATATCTTAATAATTCAACAACAAACTCAAATAAAATTGAAACGGTTGAAGATGGGTATAGAACATGCTATACTAAATTTACGCCAAACTGAATTTGTAATTGGTCGGTCTGTAATTGTTCATTCGTCTTCTGTCCCGTCCAATTTTTGGTATGGGTATTTTTACACCATTTTTCCATGTTTTTCGGATTTTGTTGGTAGTGATGCAGTAGTTCAGTTGAGTTAAGATCAGTTTGTGGGTTTCGCTAGTCAGGTTTTTTAAGAGATTAGTTTTTGGTCTGTCTTTTCACGGTGCTGTGTTTTTGACGTGCGCTAGGGCTTCTTTGTACTCTGTGTCTGTGATTAGTTTGTAGGTATAGTTTGGTGGATTTTTAAAATTGTTCATGTAATAGTCATTTATCAAGTTTCGGTTGTCATTGTCGATGTTAGGCTTTGACGATGTGCTGAAAGCGTTTTGATATTGTCTGGCTAATGCGTCAGCCTTGTCTTTGTCTCGGTAGCGTTCTATTCGATTTTCGTCAATTGTGTCTGTTGTTTTATTTTTTTTGTATTGTGCTAGTTTTTTTTCTTTTGCCAGTATGATTTGCCTTTGTATTTTTCAATATCCTCGCATGTTACCAGCTATTTGTTTTAACGATATTGTCCAGTCAAGGTTTTAATACTTGTGTTTACCTCGTTTAGTTTTTTTTAGTTCGTCATTTTGGGTATGTGTATATAGTATGTTCAGTTCTCTTTTATGTTGTGTAAGTCTTAATGCCAATTTGGGTGACGTATGTGACAGTTGTTTTCGTATCGCTTCTATTGAAATGAGCTGTATTTGCGATGTATGTGTTGCTTCACTTTGTCTATGTCAGTCGTGGTTCGGTTTAACTTTTTCTCTTCAGGAGGTGTACTGAGGGTAGTTTGCGTATGTTGTAAATCTATGTTGAACGTTATGAGCCAAGTTCGTTGGTTAGTTTATGTTATTGATATTGTTTATTAGGTTTTTTGTGCGCAGTAAAGCGTGTGCTGTTGAGTCTTTGTTTTTGGACATGGATTTTGCTTGTTTTAATGGTTGATTGAAAAATGAATGATTAGACTGCAGAGGGAATTGCATTGCAATCGTTATGCATATAACCGGAAGTTTGTGCTGGAATTTGCGCGAAA